CGACATTCATGGCTACCAAACACGACAAAAAAATCAATTCAGATTGCAAAAGGTGAAATACTCTAGTTATAAAAAATCACCAGACTACGCTGGTATGCAGTACTTCAACATTTTACCAAACGATTTGAAAACTATAACAAGCCTGGCCAAATTCAAACATAGTCCTAACTCATTTTTGATCACGAATACATTTTGTAATAACATTCCTCTGCAATATGAACTGAAATGAGCTGATGAACTCTTTTTATTCTGTCAAAATTCATGCACTATAATCATTTACTATTCATAATAATGCTAATCTGCACTTCTATGTTGTCCTATATGACATATTATTACTGTTGCAATGTTATTTTTTAATTGTATTTTTAAGTTTTATGACCTGTCAACCCGATGTAAATTGGTGATTTTATGATCAATGTTTGTCTGTCTAAGTGCTATGCGCCTACTCTACAGATACAGAGATAGAGAACAGTATTCAGTCATTACCATAAGTGTTCCAGTTTACTTGTGACTGGTGCTAACGGTTAATTGTTTGTTGTTCAATAGGAGCATTCAAACACTATCGATTATTTACACTTGTAGCAAGTGAATTATGCTCCAGTCATATAAGAAGATGCTCCTTTTTATTGCCAACATTGAAATTCCAACTGTTTCAGTTTTTCTCAGTGTGATTTTTCAAGCTTCACAACAAATTCAGGGCTCATGTGGAGTTGGTGATTCGTCTTTCGTTAACTTTTCTGTTGATTGTGCTTTCTGAATATTCTGGCACCTAGATAGAGTCTTAGCAGTTTTTCAAGTAATTCAATTTCCAGAAAAGTATTGATGTAATTGTCCTTGAATAAAACTTCAGTTGACCCAATTTCATAGCCTTTGATGTAACCCCTCATTGATAATTCATCAATTGAAATATCTACTTTAACGTAAAGTGTGATCTTTTTTATCTCCTTGAGGACAAAACACAAGCACTACAGAAAAATCCTTACAGGGCTCTCAGAGCGGTGCCTGTGCGAAAGTTGTGATTCACATTGGATTTGAATCGCTAGAGATTGAATCCATATATGATGGAATCGGCCGATACTTGATGAAAATCCATAACTAACGTATTCTACACATACATTAATGTCTTACAGTAAATCGTCTAAGAGAACAATTCGTTCAGGCCAGTCTCAGAGACTAACTTTATGTTGATGATATACACTACCTTGCACTGACGAGTAGCCAAACAACCCGAATTCGGTCTGCAAGTGTGTTCCAATAATTGAAAACCTATTGCGGCAGTTGTATCGCCAACAGCATATGCAGGAATAACTTCAGTGAAGAATCCTGCACTGACACCTGTCGGATATAATCCAACGCCCTTCGTGATATTAGCCAGGGCAGTAGTTGTTTTCTGATAGGTGTCAGTCCATTAACCTACTGTGTAGGGTGTTGAGACTGACCTGAACGGATTCTTCTCTTAGATAATTTGATTTATAGCCAGTCTTCAAGTATGCCCACTGACTATACGTGAAAGTCTTACATTAAGACACGCCCGAGCAAGCCATTGTATGGAGAAACACGTGTTGCGTTTTTGTTAAACTGTCTAGTAAAAATCTCACAATAAAGTGTTTTTAGAATACGTTAGATTGAATCAATTTGGAAAAACCTTGTCACATAGACACAGTTCTTCAAATGAAAGAGTTCTTGAACAGTGAAGTTGGAGGTGTACTGAGTTGAACCTCAAAACGATGAGCAGCCACAGTCCGTCGCGTATGTACCGCTCTTGGTGGAATGAAATATGCCAAGTCACTTGAACAACTCCCGTGAAAGTATCTATAGAAGAGACAAATCTCCAACCTTTCTTCGATGTTCCAGGCTATCAAGGTTGTACGTGATGTTTACGTCTCTTATCAGGCGGATGGCTCTTTGCTGGATGGAATCCAGCAACTTCAGGGTATGTGTGGAGACACAGCTCCATACATGGGAACAATACTCCAAAGAAGGTCTGATCTGAGCTTTATAAAGCATCAAAAGTTGTGCGTATAGTTTTCTGGTTCGGAAATGTGTTCTGTCGTGAAACAAAACTAGTTTGGAGCTCCAGTACAAGGACCGCCCACTCAGAATGAATATTGAGAAAACATGAAAAAAAAAATCGGTTTTCCCAAGATATTTCAGCTTAGTTTTGAAAATTAAGATATGAAATGTCGTTTCCTAAGCGATAGAAACATTTTTTGCAAGATTAGTAGCCTTCGCCAATTTTTTAAATAGAGAAAAAACTGATTTTATGGAAAATGGCTTTTTCAGCTATCTAGATAGGGAAATCGTGCTTTCTTCAAAAAAGCATCGATAGAGATTCCTAGTAGCTTTTGTTTGACACATCGATCACATTTCTAGTGCTCGTGGTTCAATTTTTATTAGCATTCGAGTTTTGAAAAATACAACATTTGCATTTTTTTTGCAATGGGAATATCGAGACGCGGCATGAGACTTTTTGTCTTAGGATGCTGAGTTCTATATGAAATCGAGGAAAACGAGAATCAAGAATTTTCTCGATTTTCCGAAGATTTCCGAGTAAGGCCGAAGACTGTTAGATTTCATTTATCGAAGAATGCAAATTGAGGAAGCGAAACAATACATGCAAAGAATGAGACAGAAACAGCGGCATATAGACGTCAATGGAAAGTAGCAGAGCGGTATTCCTACTTCAGAGCCCAGCGCCTGAAGAAAAACAGGTCGTAAACGCTGGCAAATACATACGAAATGAGTTTTTTTCGTCGTGTACACATTGAATCTAGGTCAGGCAGGA